GTCTAAGTCATAGCAAAAGAGAAATTTTCAGTTCATCACAAAACTTCAAAGTTTGATGGGACTGATTCATTGATTTCACAACTTAACACATTAGTTTTTACAGCTCATAAGGGAGTATGGCTCACACAAACAGTCATTTAGGAATTATCCTGTGAGTTTTTACCTATTAGCAAAAGGCTCAAGGATTTTACTCTTTAAGATGCTTCCCAGCCTCTGAGCTTTACCTACCTGTAGCAAGCAGAGTGCTTTTCAGGTATTTGCAATAACCTATGTCACATTTACTGAACAACTCCAGCTTCACTGATTCTCCAGTCCCTGGCACTCCTCTGCAACTTTCAACCACCTCCCAAGACATTCCTTTCATACCAAAAGAAATTACTGTATTTCTTTCATTGGGAGGATTAATAACGTCCATTAAACGTTCCTGCACTCCAAACCACTGAACGTCTTGCTTTGCCTCTCCCTCCTCTCTCCCCACTCTTTTCTCAAAATATCACTTTCCTATAAAGTAAAATCCTCCCTCCTGAATAAAGTTTACGTTTCTTCACTATCCACCCACAAAAAACCTATAATTTTAAGATGGAATACATTTTAAATAGTCTGTATAATCCTGCAGAAATTTTATGCAAAGGACATCTTTATCCTGAAAGAATTTAGAACCAAATCATTTTGGTCTAAAACAGAAATATTGGGAGCTACATTTGTTAGCACATACAAAGTTGCTACATTCAAAGGACAGCAGATCCTGGGATGGTCTAGCATTCTATTTTTTATTTATCTACCCATTCACACACAAACATATAAATATATAAACAGACATCTACCCTCCCAGGGAGGAGGATGATGTATGTCCAATTTTAAAGTGTTACACTGGTATCATAAATCAAGCAAATACAACCTTAAAATGGTCAAGCCGACAGAAGAGGTAGTCTGGCACATGCTGTGAGGTAAGCCTGGAAGAATGATGAATCTCACAGTTGCAGAGGATGAGCTTCGTTACTCCCCAGGGCAAACTTTGAAAACGCCTTGTCTGGGCCTTTCCAGTCAGGACAGCTGAAGCACAAGTCTTAAAATTAGGGTACGCTTTCAAAACACTCTCACTCTGCAGCTATGACTCAAGAATGAATAGAGCTTGAGTTTACCAAAAAGCTAAAATAACTCGTTAACTGGGTAATATATCCTTGCAGAATGCAAAAGTCAGTGTCAAATGTCAACCCCAGCACTTTGTGCTAAGCAAAACACAATTTGGATTTTTGGTAGCACAAGCCCAGCCTTTTACACAAGAAATGTGATCTAACCTGAAGTAATCAATCCTGATAGGTAAAAGAGAAATGCCTAGTTCATCTAAGCAGAAAGCCCCAAGGTTATGAAATCCTCCGTCACTTTCTGCTCATCGCTAAACAACTTGGTAATGGACATGCCTTTTGACAGAGCCTCAAGCTGTTACACAAAAAAATTTAAAGATGCAGAGCTTTACAGTGAAAAATCTCCTCTAACTCTGGAGATCTGCCTATTCTACAAGGCATACAGAGGAAAAAATACAGATAGTGAGAACAAAATAATGAATTAAAAAAGAAGAAAAAAGGGAGACGGGGAGGGCATGGAGAAGAGATAAGAGCAGGTGAAATGCCTCATAACTCTACCAGGAAGGCAATTATGAGCAGATTACAATTGATTTTCTATCTATTTGCTAACTGAAATAACTGCAGTTTGAGACCATGAGGTAAAAATAATGACTGCTGCTTGATACACCATCTCACCTCTGTTCTTATTATATTCTACTTTTAACATATAATTCAGTAATTAAGATGAAGTGTCAATTCTTTCAAGCATAAAAATATGGGCTTGTACAATTAATGGGTTTCTTGCTTCAAACATATGGCAGAAGTAGTATATTTATTGTAAATATTTAGCAAGCTTGAAGACATGAGGGATTTTAAACATAACTATATATAATAAGAGATATAAAGAATCACTACACAACAACTTCAGTCTGAGGACAGAAACATTTCAGTCTCTTCAAAGAAACAGCTCACTGCAGTCTTGGTACAACATCTGTTTCTCACAGTACCTCAGATACAGCTTTCAGTACCACAAGTCAAAAAACCAGAGTGTAATTACCTTGATCACTAATAAGGCCGCCATCTAGATGCCATAGCAACAAACACTATGGAAATGAGTGAACGATGAAATATCTCTCAAATAAATTAAAAAAACTCTTATCCATGACTACCTACCCATGTGTGGGACACTGCTTCATAGAACAGCAAAAGCAGCAGAATAATATTTACAGAAGAGGAAAAGGAGAAGTTTTACTTCACACATTTTCTATCCTTCCTCTTAGTTACTATAACCCTCGCTCCCACTTTCTTACTACTGTTACTCTCTATGAAGCACTTCACTTTTTAAGAATTATTTAAAATACAGACTATGAAGAGATTGATGATTGCAAGCTAAGGCTAGAAAATCCAGATTATGATCTGTTTTAATTAAAAAATAAAGTGCAACCAAGGAAAAAACTATGCAGACAGAAAGTTTTTAAGGCAGACTTTTTTTTTTTTTTTGATTACTGGTTCTAAATAGAAGTTGTGGATCTGATGCAGAAAATACCAAACAAGATTTCATGACTTCTATAATGCAAGAAGTCGAACTAAGTCACAAATCTCCTTTCTACTGAATGGAGATGCTTAGCCTTAGCCATTTCTGAGTACAACAAAAACTAACCTGAGCCAAACAAGTTCCTCATTTCACTTCACACTGAATTGCTTTTTTTCCAGCTTTTTTTAAGAGTATTTTCAACTGCATGTCGGATGTATAAGATCTCACAAAATAAAACCTCATAAGGTTTTCAATTTATCTATGTAAAATTGAACAGCAAAGAGGTTTCATCAAACTGAATCTCCAATCTTTCCAAGTCTTACTGACTGCAAGACTAGTTTTCTTCAAAAATATGAACAGCTCTGGAACACCAATAATGCTTTTAAAAGTTCATACAACCCAGAGAAGCAGGCAGTGAAATCACTCCAGAGGAGTGTTGCTCAACTCAGCAGTCAGACTGAAATGCACAATCTCCACAGATGAGTCAAGTCTGGATAATCCCTTTACGCTCTGTCAGGTTGGGAGTATGGGGCTGTTTTTAAATGGCATACTTTCAATAAATTCCACTTCTCTGCATTTACATTATTAGACAACATTTTTTAAAATGTGTTGTGATTTGCAGATATGTAAAAATATTGCTAGTGGAGTTCTGTCTATCAGGACCTCATAAATAATGACTGCATTTTTAAAAAGATTGCAAATGGTAATGTTAATTATAACACCACCGAGCGACTGCTGCCCTATGGAAGTCCAGTGTAGTAATAAAGGTGTAATAACCATGGCAAGGTTTGTAGACAGATGAAATACCTAGATACGTTTCAACTACCCCCATATGGAAAAGATAAAAAGAAAGGAACTTTTTGAATTCTCAAGACTAAACAGTCTAATTAATAAAAAAGAAGGGGGAGCAGGGAGAGAGAAAACAGAAAAATTTCCTCCTACTTCCTTAAAATTGTTGCAAATGTTTTAAACTGACATAACAAATTCTCTTTAAAATAAAAACATGCTTGAATTCATATCCATTCATGACAGATTACACTTCGGAGCATCACCAGATAGAAAATTTATTTCACTAAAATATATCTAATACAGTCTTGGAAGAAGTCTTATTTTCAACTAGCAGGCATGCTATATGGGCAAATGGTTCGTGGTAAGGAGACAGTGGAAGAGGAAATACCCTGCCAGTTTGAAAACCCAGACATACTTGAATGGTTTATTTTCCTTCCAGATCAAAAGACTATACTACTGCTATCTTAAATATGTCGTTAATTGCATAACCCTAAGAGCCGCAATTATGAACTATGACTCTGCTTTGCAAACACAGATCAAGAGGACAAGACACAGTAAACAAGACATTTCAATACATCTGTTGTTCAAGAAGTGTGGTTTACTGTTCAGCAGGATGGGTTTACTTAACCCAACTTTCGGCAACACCATCGCCTAAGGGCTATTTGGCCCTGTCAGAGCTACCAAACCAGAACCTGGCACGGGAGTGTCAGATAGGGCCAGGTCCGACTGCAGAAGGTGCTGCAAAGCACAGCCCAGCGGAGTTTCCTCCCCCGGGGGCATTATAAAATAACGTCACCGCTCCACAAATACAACCCTACATGCCCGGCGTTACTCAGACATGCCTGCAGGATTAGGTCCAAAACACACAGGTGACTGAAAATTAATTTTTAAGAGAAATTAAAACTTAAAAGCCACAGCCAGATCTGAGAATGGTGAAGCCAACACTTATTACGGTTCTATTAGATAGAGCAAGCCAACTTATGCAGCCAGTTCTCTCACTCAAAGCGCAGGGAATAAACCTACACTTTCTCACAGAGTTATTAAAAGAAAACCCAGAAAACCAACGCCAAAAGTTAGAAGCAGGGGGACGGCAGGGAAGGTAAGAGTACCTGAAATAACTTTTAATTTCTTCTCAGGCTCCCGGTGCCCGCGGGTCCCCGGGACGGCGCAGCCCGGCGGGCGGGCCGGGCCGGGCCGGCGCTGGGGAAGGGGCACGGCCGCCCCGCCAGCTCGGCCCGCGGCTCCGCCGGGGTCGGCAGCGACCAGGTCGGGGAGAACTTCCCGGAGGGACGGGGCCTGCCGAGGCGCGGGGCGATCCCGCCGGCCCCCCGGGGCACAGGGTTGGGGCTGTCTCCTCCCTCCCCGGGAAGCACCGCCGCGCCGCGGCCTCCGCCGCCGGGGCGACCTCCGCCGGGCGACCTCAGGGAGGCGCCGGGGGCAGGGCCGGAGCCGCGGCCCCGTGCGGACACACGCGCCGGCCCGGCCCCAGCGGTGGGCGGCGCCGGGGCGGGGGCGCGGAGCGGGGCGGCCGCGGCCCCGAGCTCCCCCCGCCGCCATCGCCGGGGCCCGCCCGCGGCCGCCGAGCTCTCGAGCTCCCGCGGGCTGCCACCCACCTGCAGCCCGCTGGCAGCCGCCACCGCAAGGTCGCCTTCACCTCGCCCGCCGCCGCCGCCCGCATCCCCGCCGTACTGCGGGAGGCGCTGCACGGGGCCCCGCTGGCCGCCGCCGGGCCGCCCCTCCCTGCAGAGCCGGCGCGGGCGGGAGCACCTGCTGCCGGGGCACCGCGAAACCCGGCTGGGGAACTGCCCGGCCCGGCCCGGCCTCCGCAGCGGCCGCGGGGGGTGGGCAGCCGAGGGACACGGCTCCCTCGCGGCGCCGTGGATTGCTTCCGGGAATTCCCGAAGGCCGCCGTGGTGACCCCGTCCCAGAACACCGCAACGTTACCGGCTCGGGCCAGCGAGGAGGGCCGGGGCGGCGCGGCCTGGGCAGCTGGTCCTCCAGCCCGGCAAAGGTCCTGCCGCCATCGGAGAACACGTCCGGGTGCTCAGGGACGCTCACTGTGCGGGTACCCCTGTGCCCCACTGCCCCGGCTTTGCAGCTGGAGAAAGGGCTGTCGGAGAGCTTTTTGGCAGGGATACTCAACTTCGTCTATGGCAGAGTTGGTAGAGATCTTAATTTCCGTCCCGTGTTCTAATTACGGGATGTTTCCTCCCACCCCGCAGTTACTTTTATGCAGATGAAGCAATCTACCTCTCACCATCCCACCCTGCCTTCTGTGCTCCTGCCGAGGCGGCTTAGCGCCAGGAGCTGAAGATATGAATGAAAGTCTGGTGTGATTACGGCTTGTAGCTGACGGAGCGTATCTTATACAAGATAAGACATACAGCTATTGCTACTCACAGGCTACAAATGTGAATATATATATTACCCACTCCCGTTCTACTATTGGAGTTTATAAAAATTTCTTCTGGTACCCGGTGGAAAATGGGCTAGATTTTTTAAATTCTGCATCCAATTTACACAAATCCTACACAGAAGGGCCACTTAGCAGTGGTTATTTTTCCAATAAAATGTGATAGATTTGCCTGGACAAAAAACTGTGGAGGCACAGGACTACGTTGCTTTCCTATATATGTTTCCATAAACCCTCCCTCTTAGAGCTGATACAGTCTGTAGAGCGATGGCGTGATTTTGTTCATTTGACTCATGTGTTGAATTTTTCCGTGTATCTCATCCCCATCCTAGGTATGAGTTTGGAGGGTTCAGTTCTCAGTGCAAGAGGCCACTTCTCTCCCCTGTTTAGTTACGTAAGTGTGCAGAAGGAATTTGAGGCCTCTACTTAACAAAAAAATAAAATGCTTGTTCCCTCAGTCCCACATGCTGATGCTGTTTCAAGCCAGAGTGGTGTCCAAATGTGACTATGAATATTAATTTAATAGAGGAAATTGGTGAAAGCAAGACTGAAGAATTTGACACTTGCAGTGCTGCTTTGCTGCTTATTATGGAAGCCTTTGTCAGTGACTGAGGAACATATGAGTCAGTTAAAAGCACTGCAGTGCTGGAGAAAATTATTCTCAATTATCAGAATAAGAAAGAACAGAATAATATGGAATTGATTTTGAAACTACTTAAAGTCACAAGAGTTTCACAGTATCTTTTTTCTTGTTATACTATGGTTCCTGATAAGTTTGTGTAAAACATCTTTTTGACCTTATTTGTTTTGAAAAGATTGTGATTCTGTAATCCTACAGTATCTTAAAACATGCCACCCATAAACATGAGTTACGTCTGCTCAAATGTGAGGTTTACTCAAAATGAAGTGAGATGCTTGATGGCTTTGCACTGCTCATTGGTAAGACCTTATTTCTTCCCCATTGCCTTAGGAAGCAACATACTTTGCAATTAAAGTAGACACTTGTGAGTCAGAATCCAGAATTTTTCTGTTCCGTGACCACAAAACAGAAATACACCAGTGGTACCTTGGAAGGAGGGGTTGTGAGTGTTAAAAGACTTTCTCAGGGTAGGACAGAAGAGGCTGGGGATTCATATTCCTCCAGAACTTCCCACATCTCTCTCTTCCTTCCCCATAGTATGTCCCCAGTCACTCCCACATCACTGTTCTTCAGGTTTTGATGAAGCTCAGAATTTCCATAGCTTCTTTGGGACTTTCACAAGTTTCATAACACTTTCCTAGTCATCTAATGGAAGAAAAAGTTGTTGTTAGTGAATGAGAACACACTGGAGGATAATCAGTACTTAAAAGCAAGAAAAGGAAAAATGGGACCTGCTGCCCTCTTTGGAAACCAGAACCTTCTTTGTTTCCAGAATCTGTATTGGTATAACTACAACATGACAATGCAGAATAGCAAAAGTATATAAACAATACTTTTTCTGTATAACCGGTCCTATACATATGAACTTAGATTTCCCTTCAGTCTTCTTTATGAATCTCTGTCAACTCAAACTTTCTTTTGCAGCTTTGCATCAGTTATCTTTTTTTAGTATGAAAAAAATGCACATCTTTTCAGAATTTCTTTACCTTCTCAATTATGCTGTGCATTTAATCTGCCATTTCCTCTCTTCCCTTATGAGCAGCAGCTGTTTTTCAGGACTTGAGTATTTTCTGCTTCTGACATAGAGAATACACCTTGTATTCCTGCAGATGTCCAGAGAGCTGTCCAGCCTCTGTAACTGAACCTACTCCTCACCCTCTCAGTCTGGGAAACCTGCATTTTGTACCTCTATCCACAACAACCTGCTTCTTAGGTAAACCCTGCCCAAACTCTCTTGATCCAGCTTGTGCTTGAGATTATCAAATATGCCAGAGCAGATAACAGATTTCAGCAGAATGTCGTAGTATTAGTGCCTGCTGCTTTTGTCTTCTTGAATAACTGCTGCTTTACTTGAAGGTCTTGAACATTAAGCCCATTTCTTGCTGGCTTTCTGCTTCAGTCATTTGAGTATCTTTTACAGGTAGATGCTTATCCTTTTCTTCCATTTAACTACAGTAATGGTCCTTGGTTCTAAACTGACATTCTTGATATATCTAGATGATTTGTCAGCTCTTTGTCTTAGCCTCCACCTGGCATTATTTTACCTTTTCAGCCATCACATTTTGTGTGGATACTTTTTCATCTGAGAATCTTGTGCAGCTTCTGCCGTTATTTGTGTAGAAAAGCCTACATGCTTATATGACAAAACTGCTACAACAATGTACATCTAGTTAATTTGTGTTACCACAGCAACTGAATCATACAGAAATGTAGTGTTCCACTGTCTTGTATTGCACCTTGGTATTCTGATAAAAAACTAGGGAAATGTAGTGTGGAGCTGGAGCTTAACTAGGTAGATAACTGTGCCTATCGAGTAGGTATCAACAGCTGGTGTCAAAACGAGTTTACCAGCTAGGATCCTCTAGGAATCTAAGTCCTGTTCTGTTCAGTTCTGTGAGGAATTGCAGGCATCCTGGAGGAGGGGGTTAGGATCTTGCCATTTAGAAAACTGGTGTAGAAAACATAAGGCACAGGTTGGGGGCATGAACACAAGCTGCTGAGCCTGGGCAGGTGTAACAAATTGCACAAATTCAGGAAAGGAACAATTGGTGAAAAAGTAATCTATCAGAAAGGAATATGAAGTCTACTACAACTCACTAGCTGAACATGAGTCAACAATGTGTTTTCATGGCAAAAATGGTAAACATTCCAGGAAGATGTACATGTGGGAAGCAATCTGGGAGCTCTATGCAGTACTGGTAGCACATTAGTGGAGTGACTATTTTTGTACACCATAGCTCAAGAAGAATGTGAACCATCAGGAGTCAGGGCAGGTGGCAACAAGGATGAACATAGAACTGGGAAGACTGAAGGAGCTGGAGTTGTTCAGGCTAGAGGAAAGAAGGCAGAAGGCAGAAGGCAGACATACTAAGAGTCTTTATATACTTAAATGGCCATTGCAAAGAGAAGGGGAATAATCTCTTCGTGGTAGGTAGGGTAAGATGTAATGGACTTAAATTGCATCAAGGAGGAAAAGCTTTTCTAATGGTAACATTAGTGAGGCACAGCTTTATATCACAGAGGGTGTAATAGTGTCTCCGTTACTGGATGTCTTTTAGTAGGTACTGGACAAATAGTAGTACTATTGATCTGGCATTGAAATTGGAGGATGGACTAGGTGACTGATCAAGGTTTGTTACAGACCTATTTTTCTGTGATTACATGTAATCTGAAGCTTCTCATTAATCATCATTTCTTTATCCAGTCCCATTGTACATTCTCTTTTCAAATCGGATCCCTTGCCATTCCTGGGTTCTTTGGAGGACAAAAAAATGCCTTGTCCCATTTTTCTCTCTGTATAGTCAAAGACCAAAGCCTTTCTCATTTTTCTGGCAGCCCACAACGGGCACAGACTGAGTTGTACTGCATTTTACTGCTAACTATTATAATTACACAAGTCAAACATGGAATAAAAATTATTTGGATGACAGTTGTCAGTCTATTCAGACATGTTCTACATAAACTATGCATAATGTTAACATAAATCTGAGACTCTTTAGTAATATACTAGACAAAATTACTCAATTCATAAAATGTTACTGTATTCCAGACCTACCTAATGCACATAATCCTAAATTCTCTGATCTTCACTGCCAGGAACATTAAAGATTTTAATGTGAATTGTATTATGTTACTTACTCTTTAGACATGATTTGGTTTTGCAAAGTCCTGTATGTTTAAAAAAGCTACCCACTTTTACATTTCAATTTAAGATAAATAGCTTATACCAAGAACAATTGGCATTTATTTACTTGGCAGATCTGATCAACAGGCAACATTTTTTTTTTTTAACCAATTAGATATTACTTCTTTCTACAAATATTTGCTGTTATAGCCTTAAATCAGTACGCCTGTGAGAGCAGACCCATACACATTTTGGGCACCCTTGAATAAAAGAAACTATTGCAATAATTGCCAGTGCTGAATACATTATTTGCTGAGCTTTTAAAGAGAATGTCCATCAGGAGTTTAGACCTACTCTTTTTCCTCTTGAGGACAGTTTTGGCAAACTGTACAGTCATTTTATTCTTTCTGAAAATGAGGATTTTCTTTCTGTAGTAATTTCTTATTGAAGATTAATAATGTATTTTTCAACACAGAATATGTATTGCCCGTGTACCTGTGCTGATCAACATATTCATACGTGATGGGAAGAAGATGTGGGGAACAAAGTGGCAAGATTTCACTATGATGTTGGATTTCTCAGGGTCATAAAAACTAAAATCCAACAATGAAGAACCATCGATTTTGTGTGGGGTGAAGGATATTGGAATGGTAATGAAAATGTCAGTGTTCAGCTGTGGCTGAAAGAAATACATACTAAGAAAAAGTAGGAAACATAAAGCATCATTATGCCACTGTTTATGGTGCTCCAGCTTTTTA